ACAAGTTAGAGGTTATACGTAAAATCGTGGTGGATATATGTCTATTCATTTCGGTACACTGAGGGAAATTCGAAAAGAAGAAATGAACAAGATCCACTATAGTTTACGAAATGAAATATGTCATGGTCATTTTTTATACTATAATCGGTAAACTACTTAACCGTTACATAATTTATTTGTCAAAAATAGGAATTTATACTTTTCCAGTTTAGTTTATTGTGCATTCTTATATTTTCAACAAAAGTATGAGAGATAACCAGAATAAATTTCATCAAATTTATAATCCATTGATTTATCAAATAGATAGAAAGATGTCCAGTCATTATATTTCAGTTGTTAAAAGATATCATAAACAAGTCAGATCATCAAAAAATGCTCTCACTCTCTTGCATGTCTAAGGAACTAAGACAATGGTGGTCTAACAATGATTGATTGATGATTTCAAATGTGTACAAACACAAACTTCCAAAACTCTGCCCTACAATATAGAAAAAACAGGGTTGTTGTCAACACTGGCACTAACATATAACATTTTAGACTTCCATAGACAAACCAATCAGTTAGTTGGTTTGCATTTACAAATAGACCCAGGGAACTGGTTGAATTTTAACAATTGTTTCATTTTAACTTATAACTCAATGTTTAATTTGGAAAAGTCAGTAGTGCAATTACTGGAGTCAACAATTTTATCGATCAAAAGAGATTTTCATTGTTTTAAACTGACTGATTGAATAAACAAATAAGTACTACCACTAATAATTATTATTTGTTCAGTGAAGATTTCCAACTAATTTAGAGGTTATGGTTATATATGTTGGATTGTAGGTTACAATACACGAAAATATTTCGAATTGATGAAGATACATTCTTTTTTTTTCTTTGAATATCATTTGCAAACATGAACGCGTAATTTAATCTGACTGTGAAAAATGTATTACTACTACCTATAGACTTGTCTTATAATTACTGATTTCAGCTTATTCTTTTTTTTATCTTATTCTTACTCGAACTGGTTTCACTTTCTACTAGGAAAGCTTATTACCACCAGTAAATTTGAATGTATATAATGAAAAATAGCTCACTAATGACTGCCTGAGAGCTACAGCGTTAAAAAACACAATATGTGAAATATCATTAAAGCATCAGATCAATCTGCTTTCATTATTACTAACAATTTAGTTCTTTGAATTTACTCTATTCATAAGATTAGTTTTCCACCCGTCATCTTACTTAATGACTTGTTGCCATTAATATACAAAGTGCAGTTGTGCAGCAAGTGACCTAGTGCAAGAGAAAAAGGGTCCAAATAATCTAAAGATTACTTTCTGTTGAGTTATGACACAGCTGCCAACAGGAATATTTTCTATTCTGCTCTTCATCCATTTCTGTTTATTTCTTTTTCAGCGCCTAATTCTATACTCCGTGAATATTAACCTGAATAATTGATGAAGACGTGGTTGCTTTTCGTAGGGGCCTTAAATTTTATGATCTAACGAATATTAAGAAGAAAATCTGTTTCTAGTGATTATAAAGTTCACATCACTTCGAGTGTGTGTGTGCATCACTTATTATATTTATTTGTGTAGAATATATGTGAAACTACTGAAGACACTCAGTTGGTTTCCACAAGTGCAACTGCTTTAAGTTTGCAGTGAATATTGATTTGAGAGTTGTGCGCAGTAAATATCAGCTTTATTAATATTTCTGAAGTGTGTAATCGCTTGTTTTTAGTTATGTTACTATGCCTCAATGAAAAAGATGTTTGCTGATCTACCTCATCAAATCTTGTTATATGCAAACCTTTATTTGTGGTTGTGCTTCGTTCTCTGTGATGGAAGTTTTGGTTGTGGAGCTTTCTTTGTTCTTCTGAACACTATCATCAGCACAAATTTAAGATAGAAATGGAGTATTCAAATTTCTCCACGGTTCTCACGTAGCTCGTTCTGTTAACCTTGGTCTTGATTCGTTGTTACTAACCTTACACCTGTTTCTGTTAACACCTTTGTTTCGACCGTATCTCCTTGTTGATCTGTTCCTTGATCTTATATTACCTATGATTTTTCTGATCGGTTGATAAGTTGGGTGAATGTAGATGTGTTTGTTGATTGCTGATTGACCTGAGTGCCAAGCTTCTAAAAGTTCTCTAGTGTTCTTTGTACTCCCGCTACTCAGTGTTTCCACATTTTCCAATCGTACATAATTGTCCGTATGTATTGATATAAGCGATTGGTGCTTACGTAAATGAAGCTGAAGAGGCCGTCCACTTTGTCCTATGTAGTGTTTTTCACAGTTTGAGCAATACAGTTTGTAGACCACATTTGGTTTTCTTTCATTTGTTCTTCGTCCGACGTTTGTGCTGATAATGTTGTTCCGAATAACAATGAAAGCTCCCCAACTAAAACTTCCATCTCAGAGAACGAAACACTGTCAGTGTGCTGATTTCGAGGTGTTCTTAAGTTTCGTAATTAACTCGTCCAGACAATCGTTGCCAAATAGCGCCTGACGGTTTATAAATCAGAAGATGAATTCGAAGTATTGAATACGTTTATTGTGGCACACCACAAAAAAAAAGATAGCAGACCGAGCAGACACACTAGCGAGCGAATATGCGAGTGGGCGAATGAATGAATGAAATTAAAATGTTCGTATATAGACGAAGAAAGATATCTGAGTCATCGTGATATTTAAGAGAATAATATTAAAGCGAATAGGATTCATATGCGTGTAGGCGTTAAGCAATGCTCAGTTATAACAGCTCATACAAACCACACAATAATAAAAGCCAATGGTACATATAAGTTATTGTTATACAAATGGCTTGGTTAAATAAATTAATCGAAAGACTTGACCAAATTAAATGTAAGCGGATGCAAATAAATGTGGAGGCACTATGACACCACCAAAATCATCCACCTGAGCTACAAATTTTCTCCACCATCTCGAGACCTGGATTTACCTTGCATTGATTCTTTTAAGCATCAGTGGTAGGTTGTAACTCTCCACCACTATAGTATTGTACATTGCTGGGTGTGGAACACTATCTACGATTTTATTTGAAAATTTTTAGCCATCTTTAAGTTGTCAATGTATTGTATAAAAAATGTACATAACTGAACAACCTTTCACAGAGAATTTGTTAGCCATTTTAACATTTTGATCTTCCCAGTAAATTGGCATGCCTCTTGTACCATGTTATTGTTATTTGAAAATAAAATATTTGTTAATGAACTGATAACAGAAAATAGTGAGATCTGAATTATTTATTAACAAGTGTGCTGCTACTAGCACACAACACCCAAAATCAGATTAACATCGTTTAAATGCGTTACAGGAAAAAACTGAGATCCTGGTCTAAGTGCAGGCTCTCTTTGACAGAGTCGTTACAAGTTGGAATGCTCTCCCAGCCTAGCTGAACACAGACCCCTCAGTGGACAGCTTTAAGAAGAGACTTGATAAACACGAAATCACACACGGATTATCATCCCCCTCGTGGACAAGCTGTGCCTGATGAATGTCTTCAGACTTACAAGTTGTTATTATTGCCATTTCCTCAGACCACTAACTTAATCTTCCCCCCCCCACCCATTTTATCTGATTCTTCTCTCTTGCTCACACTTAGGTCCTCTCACTACCAATTGATAAACTGAATTATCCATTCATTTACTCACTTCTGAAATCTTCTTGTTATTAGCATTAGAATTTTTTCTCTTTATTATACTCCAAATTGCAATTAAGGGATCTCCGACCTGGTAATGTGATAGCTGCTAGTAACCAGAAACCCTACTGCCCTGACACAAACGTATTCAATAAATCACGGGACATACAAAATCAAAAACCACACTGACAACCGACTAGAATTGGACAATTGAGTGGTTAGATCCAATATCCATTGGACACTATCAAACACCTGGAACCGTACCGAAAGAACAAACAAGAAACGAGTGCAAAGAAATCAAATAGTTTATAATATCTGGTGAAAAAAAAATTTGGATTTCGGATATTGGCTAACTCGACAAACATCTATTGGATTCGTTTAGCAGTATTTTATATCGTAATGCAGAGAGAAGAGTAAGTTTTATGAGACAACAATATAATACGAGCATAAAAATAAAGATGAACAAACTGGTGAAACAACTTTATCGAACTATGATTTAGTAATAATTTTTCAATTGAGACATGTAGACAGAAAATAGATGCTATTTTCTCAATATCACTAAATTCGCTCAAAAGAATTTTGCATACTTGTTTTCTATTCAACATCTATTAGCTTTATTAGAACTTAGTGGCTAGTTTTGACTTCGAAGTATTGTGGTGTGAGCTACTTATAAGTAGTATATGAAGTGAGTGTCAACGTAATGTCTGGCAGCAGAAGATGGGGGAAGATCAAGAAAGGAAGAGTTAGAACACAATGGAATTTGTATGAAACGCATGAATAGTGACAATGGATTGATGTTTTGCAACAGGAACAGTCCAGTTCGATATGATGAACTGATATTTTGGAAATTAACAATTTACGATATGGTTTTCCGATTTTACTGAGTAAGTCTGTAATTTTCGTTAAATACAATTCGGTTGCCCACACCTGTGTTCTCGCTCACTACAGTAGAGCTCACAATTTTGGTGGCTCGAGACTTGACTCTAATTGGATGAATGATCGTGTGTGCAATCAAATAAATCTTCCTCTTCATTTTCGTATATCATACTTAGGTGATCCTCGTTTGTGCGAAAGCAGTGGTAAGAACCCAAATGTATTGTTGCGGTATTAGTTTATTTCATGTATTCATCTATGAAGACAGACATGACAACGGAAAGCGTACAAGTAAAGCTATTGTCGAAGAATGACTAAGAATTTTTAGTCAAGCAATAATAGGCTAGACATGCAATGAGCGGGTAAGCATGCACACACACACACACACAGTCAAACATACAATAATCGATACAATCATCGAATTATTACAAATTCAAAATTATAGTCGATACAATTATCGAAAATAAATTACACGACTTATATACGGAGGAAATGGTGAGCGGCCACAATATCTTGTACACTTCACAATTTTATACATTAATGTAAAGAATTAGAAAGTACTGCACCGAAAGAACAAGAATCAAGCGAAAAGAAATCACTTTGGTCTATACTAGCTCGAGAAGAAGATATTGGACGCATAGAATATTGAAGTATCTTATATAGTTGTTGTCATTCGGTGTTGAAAATAATCTCGTCAATCAACTCTATATTGAAATAATTCATAAACCTGTGATTATTAATGATTTATTCAAATGAAAGTTTAAAGTAATCAAGAATAGAAATCTGATTTTGGTGAATACTAAATTCACATCATTTCATTTGTGTGAATTACTTATAACATTTGTGTGTGTAGAATGTGTGAAAGTACTGAGATTCCTCGCAGTTTGCAGTGAATATTGTTTTTGCGTAGGAAATATCAGCCTTATCAATTAATTGTGAAGATTTTTGTCTCTTCTTTGGGTTGTGTTAATTGGACCAACTGAAATATAAAACTTTACCAAATAACGTAATTGTTGAGTGAACACTAGTTGATAAATAATAATGTCTGAAATCCATTTGATACAGAGCAAATCAGAAGATGGTGACAGGGAGAAAAAGGAATCAACGGAGGTACAAACGCGAAAGAAATATCTCAAGATTCTGGATTCTCTCTCATCAATATTAAGATATGCTGCTAAAACGTTTCAAGATGAAATAGTAAGTTTGACGATTATTAAAATTTAAATGATTTTCATGTGTCATTTCTCATTTCATGCGTTGCTCAGGATTCGCAGATAAGTTCACTCGGGTTTCTCGTTTCTCTTGCATATTCTAGCAAACAGATATGAAAAAGCATAGAAACCGAATACTTTGCAATCGGTTCTCTCATAACCTATTTCTATGCACATAAAACTGGAAGAAAATACATTTATTCAATAGGATCTGATAGATGGTTAGTGAGTAGTAACACTGATAATAGCAATAATCCTGCGAAATTTGTATACTGGTGGTTTCAGCGTGTTCTTAATCTGCATAATTAGCTCGTCTAGGCAATCAGCACCAAATAACGCCTGACGGTTATAAATCAGAAGGCAAATACAAAGTGTCGATTTCGTTTGTTTTTAGCATATCACCAAATGGGACAGCGGACCACACCACAAGCAGACAGTGCAGACACACTAGCGGTCGAATGTGCGAATGGACCAATGAATGAATAAGCTTAAAATGTTCATATATATACATAGGGAAATGTCTGAGTCAACGTGATACTTAAGATTAATATTAAAGCGAAAAGAATGAGTAAGAGCCTGGGCGTAAGCAATGCTCAGTCGTACAAACAAGCTCATACAAACCAGACAATAAAAAATACCAATGGTACATATGAGTTGTTGCCATACAAATACACATTTTTGAAACCATGAACCGACCAATGTTAGATCACCATTAGAAACCCGGAAGCACTGGACGGCCGTTTCGTCCTAGTATTGGACTCCTCAGCAGTGCGCATCCACGACTCCTGCACGCCGCAGGATTCGAACCCAGGACCTTCGGTGTCGTGCGCGAACGCCCTAACCGATAGACCACTGAGCCGGTACCTAACGGTGTTAATGTCTAACTTGATCAAATTCACGGAGTTGCGCAACCTCATACAGTCTTCGGTAGACACTGCCTACACCCGAACAGGTTGAACTTCACTGGTCACGTCTTCCCACTAGAACTCGGAGAAGATTCCTCACGAAGCTAGTCACTAGTGAGCACAGGTAATTTGCAGTACGGGGTTGTGAAGATTGTTAAGTTACACATTTTTGAAACCATGAACCATACCAGGACGAAACGGCCGTCCAGTGCTTCCAGGTTTCTAATGGTGATCTAACATTGATGGGTTCATGGTTTCAAAAATGTGTAACTTAACAATCTTCACAACCCCGTAATGCCATACAAATAGCTTGGTTAAATTAGTTAATGGAAAAGGCTTAATCAAATTCAATATGAGCGAACTCAAATTTATGTGGAGGCAGTACAACAGTTTAATCAGGTCCATGGACAATTTGATGTGGTATTCTGTACCAGCAGTAAGTTTTATAGTTGATATCATTTTTGGATGCATATATTCTGGTATTTCAAATCAATAGCTAAATACTGAACAAGCATATGAAAAATAGTGGATCAGTTGTATGTAATTTAGAAGAATTCAAAAAAAAAATCAGTCTGTTTCTGGCGCATATTCAATTAGAACAAGACTTGAAGGCTATTTGATGGTCATCCGGCTTCACTCTAATTTACATGAATATTTTATATGAAAATGATATTACTTACCAAGGCAATTCGAGTCAGTATTCACTATGAAACATATTGCGCCCATACACATGTTTAGGTAAAACTACAAGTTGATGGTTGGAAGATATTTGTACTGATATTAGTAAGAAATATAACATACGTTGACAAAAGTCTTATCAATAATTCACAACATTGGAGACACTACGTCAAACATGGAAAAATAGACTTAAATTAATCATTACAAAACATTGAAACCTTAACGTAATAAGAAGTGTGTAGATAATTAAATGGTGAAGAATATAAACAAGAAGAGGTAGAAAATTACAAATAAATACAGGATGTGAAATTCATGCTAATGATAACAAAAATAAAAAAGTTATATCCGGCAACAGAAGGGATAAAGGTGTCACGAATTTCTTCTGAACACATAAATTGGCGTTGAATGTTCGAATTCCTATGGCTTCTGCTTTAAGTAGGAGACGGGATCGAACTCCGTTGGGAAATGATGCAAATATACCAAAGATCACTGAAAATGATCTAGATTTATCTACAATATGACCACTTTCAACTAGATGTGCCAAGATAGAACTGCGCATCTTTTTATCTGGCCGTTCATAAACCATGCTGTGAGATGTTCACTTATTCGTTGGTTAAGTTTCCTGGTAGTACACCCGATATAGCTATCTTCACAGGAGCAGTTGAATTTGTAAATGCACATAGATTAGGCCAACTCAGGTAACTTATCCTTCTTTATGAACGCACTAGGATAGCTGATCTCGGTCAGTGAGCTGTTGATAAATTCCAACTGCTGACTTAAAGTATCCATTGAACAGATCACTTTGCTCTGCTAGTGAGATATCTAACCCAATTTTTGTTGTAGTGGATAAGTGTAAAACTATGAAAGTAAATGTATAGGGCAAGCGAAGGGTCTTTTTCTGTTCACGTCTCTACTTCACAAATCATCAGTACTCCTGTCTATGGTGACGTCAAGGAAATCCAGCTTTTATCACACTCTTCACCAGTGAAAGTGATTGCATTGTGTAAATTATTAAATTGTTCCAGGAGTTTTTCTTTGCTGATATTTTGATCTACAATGATGAATGTGTCATCGATGTACCGGCGAGGTAGATCAAGTTTTCTCGATAGCCTGATTGAGTGGTCCGTTTTCTGGCTTTGCAATGAATAGATTAACTAGAATTGTGCCTGGAGGTGAACCCATGGCTGTGCCGTCTATTTGTGTTGTTGAACGTTCATGCTACGTCATAAGAGCAGTTGTTTCAGGCAATCCTAAGGAGAATCAATTAATTGGATTCCTACTTCTTCAAAGATGATAAATTGTTGATAAAACTTTTGTTATCGTAATTTAGTTTTGTCAATACTATTACTGCACTTATACTCATATGAACAAATTGTACTTTTATCTAATATGCGTACGCACGTAGAATTGTGATTGTAAACTCGAAATTCCTTAAAGTATTTAAAAGATTCATATACATATTAATGAATATTAGAGTGAAGCATGATGCCGATCTAACAGAAATATAATTCTTCGCAAAAAGATGTTACTTTCAGAGGGTAAAAGTTTGAGGTGAGTAGCGTTAGATAGCAACAGTGAAATAATACTTCACCATAGAACGTAATTAGTGTGTTTGACACTAGTTGATAAATGATGATGTACGCTATCCATTTGATACAGAGAAAATTAGAAGATACTGAGGAGGAGAACGAGGAATCAGTGGAGGAAACAACGCGAGAGAAATATCTTAAAATTCTAAAACGTCTCGCAAGACTATCAATATTAGCTACAAAAACTCTTCAAGATGAAATAGTAAGTATGACGATTGTTATATTTTAAATGGTTTTCATGTGTCATTTCTCATTTCAAATGTTGCTCATGATTGGCTGACAATTTCACCCGAGTTTCTAGTTTATCTTGTATAACTTAACAAAAAGATGCGAAATTGCATAGAAACTGAATACATTGAAATCGGTTCTCTCACAACCTACTTCTTTGCACACATGACTCAAAGAAAATATATCTATTCAATAGGATCTTATAGATGGTTAGAGAATAGTGTCACTCTTAACCGGATAATCCTACGAAATTTGTATACTAGTTGTTTAATCTATATGTAGAAGCACAATCTGATAACGTAAATTTGTGGTGTGTGCTACTTATACGAACGATATAAGTAGTATAAGAAGGGACGTGAAAGAAGAAGTCTCACGGTCAGAAGAGGAAAACGGAAAGCAAATCGAGCAAAAGCAAGAAGTGAATGGAGTATCAACAGGTAGGGAAGGAAGCAACAACAGGAATGGAAGAAGGATGGAGCGTTGGAAGTCAAGACTCAAAGATGGTGTGCAAATAGAGTATTTAATGTAATGTTTACGTTTTTAACTAACTCATAGTGCCTGCCTCAATCTTCTCACACTGATATTGTGATTTGTAATTACATTGAAGCCTTATCAATATTTGTGAAGAATGTTGTCGTTTCTTTAGGAATGTGTCAGTTAGACAAGTTAAAATAAGAATTTACCATAGAATATAGTTGTTATTTTTACCACTAGTTGATAAATAATCATGTATGAAATGCATTTGATACAGAGAAAATCGGAAGATGCTGACAAGGAAAAAGAGGAATCAACGGAGGTGAAAACGCGAAAGAAATATCTCAAGATTATAAAACATCTCTCACCTATATTACATAGTGGAATCGAAACTCTTGACAATGAAATAGTAAGTAATATGATCATAAAAATTTAGATGATTTTCATGTGTCATTTCTCATTTTTAAATGTTGCTCAGCATTCACAGATAACTTCACTCGGGTTTCTAGTTTCTCTTACATATTCTAACAAACAGATATGAAATTACATAGAAACCGAATACTTTGCAATCGGTTCTCTCACAACCTACTTCTTTGCACACATGACTGAATAAAAATACGTCTATGCATTAGGATGTCATAGATGGTTAGTGAGTAGTAACACTGATATTAACAATAATCCTGCTAAATTTGTAGAATAGTTGTTTGTTCTATAACCACAAGTATTGTTGAATCAAGTACATGGACAATTTGATTTGGCATACTGTACCAGAATCTTGTATAGTTGAAGTCATTTTTGCATGAAAATTATCACCACAGTATTGGTAATCACCATAGTGAGAACTATTGAACAAACATGTGAGTGATAATGGTATAGAAAGATCAGAGTTCCATCAATTCAAAAAAATCAGCCTGTTTCTGGCGCATATTTAATTGACATCGCTTCATGATTTTGCATCAGTTATAACAGTTATTTGAGTAGAATACATGTGAAATTACTGACAACACTGTTTATGGGAAACTTTGCGTTAGTTGGTTTACATATGTACAACTCCTTGTAGTTTACAGTGAATATTTGTTTTTGTAGTTATCTGTACGAATAGTAATCTCCATCTTAATCTTTTCTGTGACTCCTGTTGGTTTCACGAACTACTTATTCTGGAGGTTCGGTCGACGGTTTGTGGTCCCGTTGCATATATTTATTACGTCTTTATAAATTAGCTTATGCGAGAATTTTATTCAAACAATTTTCACTTTTCCATGGAGGTGAGAACGTCTTCTTTATTGAGAATTTTGATGTCTCAAGATACAGTCCGGTTTCCTTCGGAAGTCACGAGGCCGATGGCCCGTTCTGACAACCAGATCAATAATTCTTTTAAGTAAATGAAATGTGGGAGGCCGGAAGACTGTTCTAAATTGCTGCATAGTTGAAAAGCGTGAACCTGGAGGTGCTTGAAATCAGTGAAAAGCATTAGACCCAGGTCGGACAGCTAGGAATAGCTTCAAGAGAGCTATTATACTGCATACACAACTAGCTGCGTTGATGCTGTCCAAACAAGCACAATAGGTACTTTAAGACGGGAATTTCAAGGACTCAAAATCATCAAAGCAGCCTTCACAACAAAGAAAGAAAGCATTACAATGAACGACATCCAATGCAGTTGACCTACCCAACCACTAAAATGTGATGTTAAAAATCAATTCTACGAAAGGCCTCAGTCGTTCGTCGAGAGTTCCCCATGAAATGGCTTGATCTGACCATTCTGAAGAACAACACCGGACATGGAGATATGATGTGAAGACATGGACTGTAAGAAAGGAGCAAAGATGGTGAAAGATTTGTAAACGTATGTGCCTTCAGTATACTGGTCATTGGTGGCACAATACTCCCACACAAACGCGTACACAAAGCTACAGGGATTTCACCGGATCACACTACTCAGAACCAAATCGACCATATCTGTAGCAATAAAAATTTCAGAAAGATCATGGAGGATGTGAGAATCAAGAGAGGAGCTGATATAGCCTCAGATCGCCACTCGCTGGTCGACTAAATGAAACTGAAACTAAACAAACAGTGGACAACGGGGTATACAACATCACAAACGTTTAATACGGCCTTACTCGGCATACTGACAAACTCAACGAATTCAAGATAGCCCTCAGCAATAGGTTCCAGGTTTCTCATGATCCACTGAATGGGATGGAAACTACCATGGAGAATAATTGGAAAGGGATCAAGTAGGCAATCACTTCAACATGTCAGCAGGCTTTGATCCACAAGATGTACCATCATATGGAACGGATCTCTTTTGGTACTCCTCAATAATTACAAGAAAGAAGTAACAAGAAGGCAGCAATCAACATCAGCCGAACAAGAGCAGAAAAAGACAAAGCACAAGCTGAATACACGGAAGCAAACAAGCAAATGAAGAGAAGTATCAGAGCCAACAAACGTAAATATGTGGAACATCTAGCAATGACGGTGGAAAAGGCTGCAAGAGAAGGAAACATGAAACAATTGTACGATACAACAAGAAGGCCCACTGGAGACTGTCATAAATCAAAACGACCAGTGAAAAGCAAGGTAAGGAAAGTAATCAGCAACAATGAATAACAGCGAAACAGGTGGATAGAGAACTCTAAGGAAATCTTGAATCGACCAGCTCCACTAAACCCATCCAACATGAAAGCAGCATCTACGGACTTACCAATCAATGTTTGCTGACCACCAATTGAAGAGATCAGCCAGCACATCGGACAAATCAAGAGCGACAAAGCAGCAGGACCAGACAACATACCAGCGACCACAGAAACATTCCACACTCTTTTCAACAAGATTTGGGACGAGGAACAAGTACCATCAGACTAGGAAGAAGGATACCTAATCAAAAAACCAAACAAGGGCGATCTCAGCAATTGTGAGAACTACAGAGGCATCACTCTTATCGCAGTACCAGGTAGAGTCTTCAACGGGGTGTTGCTAAACGGAATGAAGGACTTGTTAATAATCAATTGAATGGAACTCACCACTCTACATCAACTTCATTAATTAAGAGAAGGCATTTGATAGCGTGGACAGTACAACACTATGGAAGCTTCTTTGACGCTACGGCATGCCTAAGAAGATAGTCAGCAACATACGGAATTCTTACGATGGATTAAACTGCAAAATCGTGCACGGAGGTCAGCTGACACGCTCGTTCGAGGTTAAAACCAATGTCAGGTAAAATTGCTTACCGTCACCCTTTTCCGTCTCCTGATGACTGACTGCATTGTGAAGACGTCAACATGTGGATGGAAGCACGGTATCCAATGGACATTAGGAGGCAGCTGGACAATCTGGACTTCGAAGATGATCTGGCTCTTTTATCGCACACGCAAACACAAATGCAATATAAGACGACCAGTGTAGCAGCAGCCTCTGCAGCAGTAGCTCTCAACATACATAAAGGAAAAAGCAAAATCCTCCGATGCAAACCATCATGCACCAACCAAATAACTGTTGATGGAGATGCCGTGGAGGACGGTAACATCTTTACCTATCTGCGCAGCATCACGGAAAAGCAAGGTGGATCTGATGCAGATGTGAAGGTGCGGATCGGTAAGGCAGGAGCTGCATCTCTTCAATTCAACAACACTTGCAACTCAGAACAAATTTCAACTGACACCATAGGCAGAATTTTCAATAAAAATCACAAGAAAATTCTACTATATAGAGCCGAAATTTGGAAAACCACAAAAGCCATCATCCAGAAGAATCAAGTATTCCTTAACAGTTGTCAACACGAAATACTTAGGATCCGTTGGCCAGACAGCCTCAGCAACAACCTACTTAATTACAGAACAAACCAGAATACAGCGGAAGAGGAAATCGAGAAGAACCAGTGGAAGTTGAAGGGACATACATTGCGGAAAACACGAAACTGCGTTACAAGAGAAGTCATCACATGGCTCATTGATAGTAAAAGGCAAAGATAAAAATTACGCGGAGGCATAGAGATAGGCATGAGAAGAATGAGCTAACATTGGACAGCACTGGAAACGGAATACCAGGACAAGGAAGATGTAGAACACTGGTCACCAGATTATGCTAGAATGGCGGTGAGATGTGTACGTAAGTCAGAATGTAGGCAATATCAGCTATCACAATAATTGTAATCAGTATATTAGTTTGACTTTGACAGCGTTAGATAGGTAAAATGAAAAAAGAATTTACCAGCAAACGTAAATGATGTGTTTGACACTAGTTAATAAATAATCTTGCATGAAATACATTAGATACAAAAAACTTTGGAAGATGCTGACAACGAAAAAGACGAATCAACGGAGGTACAAACGCAAAAGAAATATTTCACTATTCTAAAACATCTCTCTCCTGTATTACGAATTGGTATTGAAACGATTGAAGAAGAAATAGTAAGTATGACGATTATTAAAATTTAAATGATTTTCTCATATGTCATTTCTCATTTCAAATGTTCCTCACAATTGGCAGATAATTTCACTCGGGTTTCTCGTTTCTCTTACATATTCTAACAAACAGATATGAAAAAGCATAGAAACCGAATACTTTGCAATCGGTTCTCTCACAACCTTCTTCTTTGCACACATGACTGAAAGAAAATGTTTCTATTCAATAGGATCTGATAGATGGTTAGAGAGTAGTAACACTGATAATAGCAATAATCCTACTAAATTTGTAGAATAGTTGTTTGTTCTATAACCACTAGTATTGTTGAATCAAGTACATGAACAATTTGATTTGGCATACTGTACCAGAATCTTGTATAGTTGAAGTCATTTTTGCATGAAAATTATCACCACAGTATTGGTAATCACCATAGTGAGAACTATTGAACAAACATGTGAGTGACGATGGTATAGAAAGATCAGAGTTCCATCAATTCAAAAAAATCAGCCTGTTTCTGGCGCATATTTAATTGACATCGCTTCATGATTTTGCATCAATTTTAATAGTTATATTGTAGTGAACGAGAACATAAGTGGGGCAACCGGATTGTATCTAACGGAAAATTACAGAGTTACTCAGTAAAATCGGAAAACCATATCGTCAATCGTTAATTTGCAAAATATCAGTTCATCATATCGAACTGGACTGTTCCTGTTGCGAAACATCAATCCATTGTCACTATTCATGCGTTTCATACAAATTCTATTGTGTTCTAGTTCTTCCTTTCTTGATCTTCCCCCATCTTCTGCTGCCAGACATTACGTTGACACTCACGTCATATACTACCTATAAGTAGCTCACATCACAATATGTGTAGAATACTAGTGCAATTACTGAAAACACTGTTTATGGGAAATTTTGCGTTAGTTGGTTTACATATGTACAACTCCTCGTAGTTTACATCAAATTTTGGTTTTGGCGTTATCAATATTTTTGAAGAGTGTTATCTTTTGATTAGGATTATGTTTCTTAGCCACACTCAAAAATGATTTCTACAAAGAATGAAGTTGTCGTGTTTTTACACAAGTTGATAAATAATCATGTGTGAAATTCATTTGAAACAGAATTATTTAGAAGACGCTGAGGAGAATGATGAATCAACGGAGGTGAAAACGCGAAAGAAATATTTCACGATACTCAAATGTTTCTCACGTATATTACAAAACAGTATTAAAATTCTTCAAGATCGATTTGTAAGTACGATAATTACGAAAAATTTAGATGATTTTCATGTGTCATTTCTCATTTCAAATGTTCCTCACGATTCGCAGATATTTTCACCTGAGTTTCTCATTTCTCTTGCATATTCTAACAAACAGATATGAAATTGCATAGAAACCGTATACTTTTCAATCGGGTCTCTCACAACCCGCTTCTTACGTAATTTGTATACTGGTGGTTTTTTCTATAACTATGATATAGATTAAACAGGTACATCGACAATATGATGCGATATATAACACCAGTATGTTTTATTGTGCTAACAGACTCCTTCGAGGTGAAGACCGGTGTCAAGCAAGGTTGCTTACTCTCATCCTTTCTCTTTCTCCTGGTCATCGACTGGATTGTGAAGACGTCAACATCTGGAGGGAAGCACGGTATCAACCGGACAGTTAGGACGCAGCTGGACGACCTGGACTTCGCAGATGACTTGGCTCTTCTGTCGCACACTCAACAACAAATGCAAGAGAAGACGACGAGTGTAGCAGCAGCCTCTGCAGCAGTAGGTCTCAAAATACATAAAGGAAGAAGCGAAATTCTCCGATGCAACACAACATGCACCAACCAAATCACTCTTGATGGAGATGCCTTGGAGGACGTTAACACCTTTACATATCTGGGCAGCATCATCGACGAGAAAGGTGGATCAGATGCAGATGTGAGGGCACAGATTGGCAAAGCAAGAGCTGCATTTCTACAGTTGAAAAATATCTGTAACTCCAAACAACTTTCAACCAAAACCAAAATCAGGATATTCAATACAAATGTGAAGACAGTTCTACTGTATGGAGCGGAAACATGGAGAACTACCAAAGCCATCATCCAGAAGAATCAAGTTTTCCTTAACAGTTGTCTACGCAAAATACTTCGGATTTATTGGCCAGACACCATCAGCAACAATGAACTGTGGGAGAGAACAAGTCAGATTCCAGTGGAAGAGCAAATCAGGAAGAAGCGGTGGAAGTGGATAGGACACACACTACGAAAAGCACCTAAATGCGTCACGAGACAAGCCCTCACATGGAACCCTCATGGCAAAAGGAAAAGAGGAAGGCCAAAGAATACATTACACCGAGTAATAGAGAAAGATATGAGAGGAATGAACAAACACTGGACAGAACTGGAGAGGGAAGCCCAGGACAGAGTTGGTTGGAGAAAACTGGTGGGCGGCCTATGCTCCGTTGGGGGTAACAGGCGTAAGTAAGTAAGTAAGTAAGTATGTTTTATTGTTGATGTCATTCTTGGATGAAAATAATCTCAAAAATCTCACAATATTGACAAATATCATAGTGAACTAATGAACAAATCTGTGAGTAATAATGATGTAGAGAGATGAGATTTATAACAATTCACGAATATTAGTCTGTTTCTGGCGCATAGTTAATTGACATCGCTTCATGATTTTGCATCAGTTATAACAGTTATTTGAGTAGAATACATGTGATATTACTGAAAACACTGTTTATGGGAAATTTCGCGTTAGTTGGTTTTCAAGTGTACAACTGCTCGTAGTTTTTTAGTGAATGTTGGTTTTGTGTTGTGCGTTCGACATATCAGCCTCATGATTATTTGTGCAGAATGCTATCGATTGTTTCAGGTTGTTAATTGGCCAATAAAAACAAGAAATTACACTTAAACTTATCTGATCTCTTCCACACTAGTTGATAAATAATTATGTATGAAATGTATTTGATTCAGGCAAAATCGCAATATGTTCAGACAGAGGAAGAGGAAATGACAGAGTTACAAAGTGGAAAGAAACATGCCAAGAGTTTTAGAAGTGATCCAAATATATTTGGAAGTGTTAATAAAACTGTTCAAGATCAATTTGTAAGTACGATGATTACGAAAAATGCAAATGATTTTCATGTGTCATTTCTCATTTGAAATGTTGCTCAGGTTTCACAGATAACTTCAGTCAGTTTCTAGTTTCTATTGGTTAGTTAGTCAAAGAAACAGATATGAATTTGCAATGAATCATGATCGTTTGAAAATGCTTTTCTCAAAACTCACGTGTAACTACACATAACTGTGGGAAGTTACATTTAATCAATAGGAAGTAGTGATAGATTGTTAGAAAGTCGTGACAATGGTAACTGCAATTATCTCACGAATTGTGTTTCCTAGTTCTTTATGTTATATTTACTAGCACTGTTCAATCGCGTACGTGTACATCGACAATTTGAAATAGTAGTATTTCAATGCAATATGTCGTACAGCTGTTGTCGATTTGTGATGAAAATAATCTCGTAAATCAACACAGTAATAGCCAGCATCAGAGTGAACTAATGAACAAACCTGTGAGTGATAATGGTTTAGAGAAATGCGAGTAACAAGAATTCAGGAATTGTTTCTGCTTTTCGTGAATACTAAATTGGCATCACTTGATGTTTGTGCATCACTTATTAAAGTTATTTGTGTAGAATATTTGTGATTTTGCTAAATGGAATGGCGATTATTTGGAGTGAATATTGGTTTTGTAGTTGTGTGTAGGAAATATCACCCTTATCAATATTTGTTAAGGATGTTTTCCTTTATTTGGTAAAGTGTTTGTTGGGCACACTGAAAAAAGATTTCAAGAAAGAATGAAGTTGTTTTGTTCACACAAGTTGATAAATAATCATTTACGAAATCCATTTGACACAGAGAAACTTGGAAGACGCTGAGAAAGATACAGAGCTACCAATGGAAGTGCAAATGCGGAAGAAAGTTCTCAAGATTCTAAAACGTTTATCACCTATATTAAAAATTGGTTTAGAAAATCTTCAAAATGAAATAGTAAGTGAGATGATTGTGAAAATTCAAATGATTTTCATGTGTCATTTCTCATTTCAAATGTCCATCATGATTGGCAGATAATTTCACTCAGTTTTTCTAGTTTATCATGCATATCATAAGAAACATATATGAAATTGTATAGAAACCGAATACGTTGATATCGGTTCTCTCACAACCTACTTGTTTGCACATACATCTGAAAGAAAATACATCTATTAAATTGAATCTTATACATAGTTGGAGACTAGTTACAGTGTTAATAGCAATAATCCTACGAAATTCGTATAATAGTTGTTTAGTCTGTAGCTGTGAAGAGGCGGTTGCCAAGAGAAAACTCTCAAACGAATCGAAACCAAAATTACAGGCGTTTTAGTAGAATAACGACATTTATTGATAAGAAGTCGCGTGATATCAAAATATCTCGTGTACAGCCAGACAGTGGAATAACAAGAACGATCGATTGAGCCACGGGATTGGGAAGCCGGTCACTTGAGTTATCGCTTTTAGTCCAGATAAACGAAAGGTGTACAATAAAACAGTTATTGTTATACATGTTCGATGATAAGTATTTGTGTGTCTGCAATTATGTTTTCTTCATAAAATAGCTCCACTACAAGAGCGTGGGTGATCAGGCTATCTTTCGCCAATGTTGACTGAAGTCGACGGTACTAACAGGGCAATGGTCGGAGGCGTGGGCTCAGTGTAACAAAAGTCAAAGAAAGCGAGAAAAGTGTAGCATGCATGTTGTACGGGAATAGAATTCCATGCCGTACCCATGGTTGGTTGGTAGTTAGTAGAGAAGGCTTACAGATAGGTGTACACGGCGACCGGAACGCGAGACAGTAGCCTTGTGCGTACCACGTGAGCCTGCGATCTCAGCCGTAGTCAAGTGCGGCGTGATCTCCTGATTTGGACGTGAGATCAAAGTCTCATCCGTAGATAGTGCGGATGAAAAGGGCTTCTGAATTAGGACGTGAGAATGAGGTCTTTAATTTATCTAGCGTCGGGTGTGTATCTCCTAGACTACATCTTTATAGATAGTCGCGTGTGCGCTGTCAGATCAAACGGGACAGTAAGGTCTCGGAAGATTAGGGACACTGGTCGTTGCCTCTTCATCGAATCTCCCTATGCCCCCACTGACTGCAGTTCAGATGAGTTTCAAGATGAGTTTTACAGAAAGCTTTCGAACCTCCTCCAAAAAGATAGGCGCTCAGATGTAGTAATAATGCCTGGTGACTTTAATGCTCAAGTAGGTAGACTAAGTGAGCAGGAGAGACACCTTGGTGGATGTTGTGGTGTCGCGGTTCAGAGAACAGACATTGGCGACCGTCTGTTGCAAATGTGCTCAGATAATCGCCTACTTCTAGCAAACACTAATTCTAAGCATAAAGAAAAACATATTCTGACCTGGCCACACCAGACGTCGTCCCAACGTTGGACCCACCTAGATCACATCGCCATCAGCCACCGATGGAGGTGGTCCAGTTTTAGCAGCTAGCAGTCAATCCTTAAAAATCCCAGGAGGCAATCTATCAGGACCTGCTGCTCGCCCTCCCTTTAGATTTCCTATAGCTTTCTCAACTTCATGTAGACTGGGAGGACTCAAATCGATTTGCCATTCAGGATGACTGGGGATCGTGGGCAACCGAAGTGTGGCTGAAGACCAATTGAACTGGTCCCTAAAGTGTTCTGCCCATCGATCAAGTCTCCTGGGTTGAGAATGGATAATAAGACCATCCTTTTCCGAGATAGTCTCACTCACATTCGGGTTCCTAATACCGGTTTCTTTGATAAGGCAGAAAAGTTGTCTAATGTTGCCTATCGTCGCTGCCTTTTCCACCTCTCTCGCTTTCACCACCCACCACTGTTCACGGTCGTTACGTAGGCAGTCAGTGGGGGCATAGGCAGATACGACGAAGAGGCAACGACGAGTGTCCCTATCCTTCCGAGATCTTACTGTCCCGTTTAGTCTGAAAGCGCACACGCGACTATCTACTGGGATCCAGTCTAGGAGCGCTGGTTCAGCCCTACGACTCAATGATATACCTACACCAGCGAGACCCCTGGAAGCAGCATCACGGCTGCCGGATACGCGAAGAGTAAATCGGGATGCCTCTTTATTTTGATAAGGTGAAATCAGATTAATGATTTTACTAGTATCCTGTATGCTCGTTTCCGGGACGCAGCATTCATCGATTGAGCGAGATTCTAAAGTCCTAGCTAATGATGCCTGTTGCCCTATTTGACACATTATCCGTACATTAAATGCTCCAACATGCAGTCTAGATCGGGGTTTAAGGAAACCAGGAATGATTTTTCGTGAATTCGCATCGTTCGCATTAGCAGTTCAGTGAGCTGAAGGTATGCAACTAGAGTTAGTCGTAGAGATAAGAGAGAAGATATTAAGGGGTGTAAGAAGGATTTGTTTTTGACCAATTTGGCCTCGTGTGCTGTTACGGATATGAGTGGTGTAGGAGTAGATTTGAAGAAAGCTGGGGGTGCAAAACATGGCAGAAATCCATAAAATCCCTGACAAGTGGACTGATTTATGTTGGCAGATATAGGCTACCTGGTTTGGGTCCGCTAGACGAAAGTCACCGATGGTTAGAGACCTTGAATGACATGGCTTAAAATCGTTTGCAATGACGCAGATGCATCCACTGTTTGTGTTCTGTCGAATCTTAATCTTCTGGATTAGTCAGCACCTCTACCTTTGTCTTTCCAACCTTATCTCACTGAATTATACTTCTTGAATAATATCTTTAAATCCTAGTCTTCTTCATTACCATTAATACCTCTACTATCTCTATCACTATGGGATTCGATTTGACATTTGCGTCTCCGTGCTAATGTGGTATGTCAACATGAACTTATGTACATACGTACGAAGTTCTACGTTGCAACTAACTGATTGACTAGCGTTTGGTCCGCAGTAGCTTTAAGGATCCTGCTAGGTCTAGCACTGGGTCTCATTAGCAAGTAGGGCACTGTCATCGACGTGTGCTAGCTTGAGACGATCAATGCTGATTATCTCGACGCAGTCATGTCGAGCAACCTTGAAGGTCTTTTCATGACGAGAAATCACTTGAAAAGCTCCTTCCTAAGGATGTCACAGAGGTTTGCGTTCCGAATCGACTCGAATGAAAACATTTGAGCAGGTAGGTAACTCTCGAGGGAAAGTGACCTGTCGATTTTGTACTCGAGTTGACACCGGAGGCAGTGCTCGCATTAGTCCAGACAATCGTTGGACGTAGTCTGATTTACTGAAGTTATTACTGCTCCGTGGTGTGAAGAATTCCCCAGGCAGACGCAATGTCGTGCCGTATACCAATTCAGCGGCGGAACATTGAATATCTGTCTTTAAGCTCGTTCTGATACCTAAGAGGACGAGCGGTAAGGTTTCGTACCAATTGTTGTTTTCGTGTGCTCGAAGAGCACTTTTAAGTTGGCGATGAAACCGTTCAACTAAACCATTCGAAGCTGGGTTGTAGGCGGTAGTGCGTATGCGCTCCGTACCAAGCGGCCGGGTTGGCGAGGAGAATAGTTCGGACTCGAATTGTTGTCCTCGGTCAGTTTTGACAGTCGAGGGACAACCGTACAGAGCTATCCATCTTTCTACGAAGTGGTGAGCAATTGTTTTCGCCGTTATAGAAATGATGGGAATAGCTTCGAGCCATCTTGTGAAACGATCGATGCACGTGAGTATATGATTATACCCGTGCGATGGTAGCAATGGTCTAACAATGTCAATATGAACGCGATCAAAGCGAGCATCAGGCGTAGAAAATGTGCCGATATGGGCGGCTACGTGCCTATGCACTTTTGATCGTTAATATTGTAAGCATTGCTTTACCCACATACGGACATCTTTGTTCATGGAATGTCAGACGTATCGTGCAGCGATGAGGCGTAATGTGGCCGCGATACCTGAATGAGACAATCCATGAAGGGCATCGAAGAAGAGAGGACGATAAGCAGAGTGTAGGATGTGTCGGGGTCGACCAGTAGAGGTGTCACATAAGATAGTACCTGAGCTAGTAGCTAGCGGCACT